AAATAATGCTGTATATTAAACAGCAGCCTGAACATGAGTCTATAGTGAGCAGCTGGGTATGAATTCAGCAGCTCAAAGGTTCATCTGAAGACTCAGTTTGGTAGCGAAGTCTCATTTTTTCCAATGTCCTAATTATGGACTAGGTCTGCAAATAACCCAGAGTCAGAAGTCCGATTTGCATTTCAGTGAAACATATTTAATATGGAGTATTGTTTATTTGTATTGTTCTTGTTAAAACTTAAGTTGCAAGCCCAAATAGTCTGTATTTGCTGTCTGAAATGTATGAATATACCAGATAAGCTCCTGATGTAAGTACTTATGGATGCATTCATTTCCTGTGACAGTGACAGACATTTCCATGTCCATGCACGCAGCCCTCCTTCACTGTTTTTCTCTGCCCGGCACTTCGGCTCCTCTCAGCAGGAGAGTAATAATGGACACCCACTCCATTAGGAGCCTGTTACCTTTTCACTCTGTCATCTATTTATTCTGCTGCTTTTCTCCCTCTGACTCTGTTTACACCATTTTCTCTCTATTTTCATGTCAGCTGCCCTGCTCCAGTCCACCACTTTGCAGTTGGGTCCTTGTCCCCCTAAATTGGATAAAAGATTAAAGGAGCTAAGCTCGTTCAGTATTCTATGTTGCTAGAAATCTAACAGTCCAGCAACAAAAATGTATTTTTTTAGTACTGCCCAAACATGAAAAATCCCAAAGCTTCATAAAGACGTTGCATGCGGGATCTATGGAAAAATGCAGATTATCTGAGTGTGGTGTTTCATCAACTAATCATGAGATCTGATTCAGATTTTTGCTACTTATTCATGCTGATGCTCTACTCTGAGGTTCAGGCGCAGATTAGAGACATTTATCGTTATTAAGAAACCATCAAATACGAATCCAGCAGTCCAGTGTGGAAATCAACACATTAATATTATATAAAAACGTATTAACATGTTTGATTTTCAGAAATACATTTATATTTACGTTTGTTTTAGTTGGTTTGCCCTTTTTTATTGAAAATGTGAAAACTGTTCTTTGATAAATCTCTGAGTTTTATTTTAGGCAACACCTACTGGACATTGTTTTAGCTAAAGTTTGAGAAATTAAAGTTATATGAGTACGTAAAACCAGAAAGTGTAACACTGAAGTGAATAACTGTGGAATTAAAAACAATATATCTGATTTATTCCATTTCACTTTGATTTTTTTCACCTTTCACACGACAAGATGTGGTCTCATGTTTCAGTTCCAAAGATCTTGTTTTTGTGCTAAATGTTTATAGACATTAACAATTATAGCAGCAGTATTTTCTACAGTGGTTCATCTTGATTTTTTTATCTTTTTTAACTTATTCAATTGTATTTTATTTATTTTTTTTAATGTCTACATTCTAGTGACACAATAAACTGTGTGGTGTGGCTTTTAGTTCTGACTCTTGGAAAAAAAATCAATTAAAAAAATAATTTCTGGTTAAAAACACATATGATTTTATTAATAAAACAAACAAAAAAAACAGCCACAAGCCATTGTATCTCTTGTGCTGGTCCCAAGCCCAGGTAAATTGTGAGGGTTGTGTCAGGAAGGGCATCCAAATTAAAACACCTTTGCCAAAACTACAATGCGAGTTCATCAAAGTGAAACCATACCGTATCGATCGAGGCCCAGGTTAACAACGACCACCACCGGTGCTGTTGACAGAGTTCCGACAGAAATGACGCTACTGTTAGTCGAAGACCACGAGGAGGGAAACGTGTCAGGAGACAGAGGGAGAAGAGGAAAATTGAGGGTTGCAACTCTAAATGTGGGGACAATGACAGGCAAAGGTAGAAAGCTGGCTGACATGATGCAGAGAAGGAAGGTAGATGTTTTATCTGTCCAAGAGACCAAGTGGAAGGGCAGAAAGGCTCACGGCATTGGAGCAGGGTTCAAAGTGTTTTATCCTGGTGTGGATAGAAAGAGAAATGGATTGGGGTGGTCCTGAAGGAGGAGTTGGCAAAGAATGTAGTAGAGGTGAAACGAGTGCCAGACAGGGTGATGTGCCTGTAGGTACAAATAGAAGGTCTGATGCTAAACGTTGTCAGTGGTTGTGCTCCACAGGTTTGATGAGACTTAGAGGAGAAAGGTAAATTTAGGAAGGATCTGGATGAAGTGATAGAGATTGTTCCCAGAGGGGAGAGAGTGGTGATCGGAGCAGATCTGAATGGACATGTTGGTGAAGGCAACGTACAGACTGAGACTACCAGACTGAGATTACATGTCCACAGGAGGGAATATATTATACTGGGTATATTGATAGAATGATGTTTGAAATGCAGCTGCCAGGGAAAAAAAAGAGGAAGGCCGAAGGGAAGATATATGGATGCAGTTGGAGAGGACATTGCAGTAGTTGGAGTGAGGACAGAAGATTCAGAGGATAGACTGAGATGGAGAAGGATGACTTGACCCCTGAAAGCAGAAATAAGAACAATAATAATAATAATAATAATCAATGAATAAAAAACAAAAAACAGAAAAACCGGGAGCACAAGCCAGTATCTCTTGTGCAGGTCCCAAGCTCGGGCAAATGGCGAGGATTGTGTCGGGAAGGGCAACTGACGTAAAACACTTTTCCCAAAAGTATAATGTGAGTTCATCTATGCGAGGATGACCCCCTGTGGCGACCCCTGAAGAAGGAAAAGCTCAAAGAATATATTAATAAAAAAGAGAAAATAGACAATTTTGAAAATAAACAAGTTCATGGATAAAATAATACAACAAAATATTTTTTTAAACAAATCAGCCGTTTGTGTATTTTTGTTTCAACCTTGATTTTTGCTATTTCTAACCTTTAATATTTATTACCACTTTGTGTCCTTGACATATAAGGATTTGTTTTGTAAAAAATACTTGATTAAATGTTTGTCAAAACCTTTATTTATAATCTGATACGACTGGGTTTGGGATGTTTTCAGGTGGATGTAACCTGGCTTCATGTTTTCATTATATATTTGCAGATGAGTTGTTATTAATTGTTAAAGTCGAAACACAGATTTTAAAACATAATGTTTTTTTAAGATGTCTTTAGATCTTTAATTTTTAACCTTTCTCATATTGTGATTTAAGCTGTAGCAGCACAGTGATGTTAGTTCTAAACCAAAACGTGAGGGATATTTTACTCATTATTGAACCTTTTTCACTCTTGGTCCTTGTTGCATGATCATGAAAATGACCATGGACCTTATTTTCTTCTCTTGGCCGTAGTTCGGTCTCATTAGGCTTCCTGTGAATGTGCAAATTACCTGTCTCACATACACTCCTACCTACGGAGCAAATTGAAGCTCTTTATTTCATACTTTGAAAAGATGATTGTTCCTTCCTTTAAGCATCAAATCCACAACACAGACTTTCCCTCCTCGGTTTAATTTTGGTTACAATTTGGAGAACACAAACAAATTATTAGGATAAATGAAAGCAATGGCTGTCTTGCCGTTTACAGCACTGATTGTCAGAGAGTGGATGAGGACGGATGAAGCGGAGCACTTGGGTGCCACTTGAGATGGCATTTGGACAGACAACAATGAAGCTCTCGAGGGGAGAAAGTTAACTGAGTGATATAAACACGTATGAGAGGCCGGCGGCCAAGAATTCAGCTCAGTTTATCACCAATTCACAGTAAAAGTCATCCCAGGGCACTATACAACAGAAATAAGTTCATTCAAATCCAATGACCTCCAATTTAATATAAATATAATAGAATACATTCACACACATTATATTATCAAATGCTAAATAATAAAAGTTGTCTTTGTAAGGAAGCCAGCAGATTGTTCCAAATCATTTCAGGCATTTATAACTTCTGCCTTACCAGAGCTGAAGAAGCTACACTAAAAAATACAATAAAATAAATAAATTAAGATTTAAAAATTATGTATCATCTCATGAAGATTTTATACTTTAACTTTATATATCTGGACTGGGTTGATGTAGTCGTTCGGGCTTGATTCAGATCTTTTTGTTGTTGTTTTTCCCTGAAGTTTTGTTTGAGTGTAAACAAAACAGAATAAACTGAAACAAGAAGGCTAATCAATAAAACCTGGTTTAATATATTCTGGTTTGTTCAACGAAGAATTGTTAACTTATTTAAGCTGAGAACCGACAGTAATGACAACGAATTGTATTAGATTATGTTGAGCCCAGTCATGTATGTTACATGAAATGACAGAGCTACTTAATTTTGAAACAAAACTGTTTGTTATTCTCTTAACTATTATTCTATAACTCTTAACAAAGTTAAATCAGGTCCTCTGGAAGGATTAAAAAATTAAAATAAAAATTGCAGCTAAAAATATTGCAGCTCTTCAGACTGACTAAGTGGTTTAGATAAAAGACGAATCGTTTCAACAAGTTTTTTTATTTTTATAGTTTGTTTTTATGTATCCATCCAGAAGACCTGACTTAACTTTGTTAGATTGTTGTTGTTATTTTTTATTAAACCAGATTAGATCATCTACCAAGCACATCATTCTTCAAGCATATTTATTTAATAACATCTTGTTTTTTGAGTGTACAGTTATTTTAATTTAAAGCTTAAAACTGATTAGCTTCATGTTTTACCTTTATTTCTTTCTAAAACAGAACTAAACAATCAATAAAAACATGATGGATGTAATTAGATTTGGAAAATCTAATCAACTCATTAGATCAGTTCAATTTTTTGTTTCTTTAGCTTCGTATAGTTTCTCAAGAATATGGACGTATACTTCATATATCAGTTAAATGGAATAATCAGAATCGGAATGAAATCATCCCTTACACTTTTATGTGATCACATCTAGACCCGAGCAGCTCTTGTGTCTGTGCTCTATATATTAGTCTTTTATCCTTATTTATCATTTTTTAATTTGATCTTTCTTGCTGTCCTTTTTGAGAAAATTGTAAAAAGCCTTTTCACTTTTTAAAATATCCTATATATTTAAATTTAACTGTCACATGTGACATTTCTTTTACTCTTTGTTTTCTAGATCCATATGCTAAGATCCACCTCATGCAGAATGGCAAGAGGCTGAAGAAGAAGAAAACGACAATCAAGAAGAACACCCTCAATCCTTACTACAACGAATCTTTTAGCTTTGAAGTCCCGTTTGAACAAATCCAGGTACGTTTTGCCGCCATTAAATTGATTCTAATCGTATTCAGTTACACTTTTAGACAAGTTCCCCCCCTCCCAAAAATAGGAAAACGAGTCTATAAGCATTTATCAGCTTTAATAAATGAGGCCCGTTTAAAAAAATAGAGGCTTTTTTAATCATAACATCATAATCAAAGTCAATTCAGTTTAAATCAGCCTCGGTTCTTCAATTAGACATGCCGGTTGCTGAGTGGATGTGTATTATTGCCTGTGGCATTTCTCTCACTGCTGTTTTTCTCTTACAGTACGTCCACATCGTCATTTAACTGAGTTTAACCAGGTATAAACGATCAGTGATTATGGTCGGTGACACTTTGTTTGATTCGAGATGAGGCGAAGCGGGAGATTTTATTTATAGAAATGAATAAATAAGCTAAAAGAAATCGTAGCAAACAAGATGATCTCATCAGGCGGGACAGTAATTGAGTGAATTTCATTATTCCTGTCGCAGTTCACAAATCGCAGTTTTGATACCACGAGCCTCAGAATCAGTTTAAACAAACAGCCTTATCCAGAATCAACCTGCAGCTCCAGCACTCAGACACCGAGACCGACTCGATACAGTCGTACACCGTCATCGATTACATTCACCATCATCAATTACATTCACCGGCATCGATTTGATTCACCGGCATCGATTTGATTCACCGTCATCGATTTGATTCACCGTCATCGATTTGATTCACCGTCATCGATTTGATTCACCGTCATCGATTTGATTCACCGTCATCGATTAGATCCACTGTCATCGATTTGATTCACCATTCGATTACATTCACCATCATCGATTACATTCACCATCATCGATTACATTCACTATATATATATATATATATATATATATATATTAAAATAACTTACTACTTGTACTATTATTTCTACTTGGCGGTTATTCACTTATCGCGGAGGAGCTGAGAATGGAAACCCCCACGATAAATGAGGGACTACTGTATGTATGGGGAGTGGTGGCACAGAGGTTAGAGAAGGAGAGCCTGTAACCAGAAGGTCGCAGGTTCAACTCCCTGTAACAACATCAAAAATGTGGTTTTAAACGTGAAACGCCCACACCTGCCTCCACCCTCATTTGCCCAATTCTGGGCTCTTGAGCAAGGTCCCTAACCCCCACCATCTGCTCCACCGGGCACCCTAGATGGCAGCTCTCTGCTCCACACAGAGGGCTGTGGTAGCTCGGTGGTCTGTGGTTGCATCAGGAAGGACATCCGGCGTAAAAAAAATTGCCAAGTCTTCATGCGACTTAGTTCGCTGTGGTGACCCTTGAGAAGGGAGCAGCTGAAAGAAGATCAACAGACAGACAGACATTTTCTCCTTCTCTTGTAAAACTAATTGCACAAGCTGCTTATAAACTTGAAATTGTGTTAAATGGTCTTGCAGATCATGCAGAAACTGAAAATACTACTTTAAGATTTTTAATTTGTCAAAACACTAAAATTAGTTATTGATGGTTTTATAAAATCCGTTTGCCTTCACAACATTAAAACTTTTTTTAAATCTAAGCTTTTAGTTTTTCACTGCATCAGCAGTAATAACTCATCTAACCTGTGAGAAAACATTGTATACATTTACACAAATCACATTTTAAGTTTGTGTAAAATGTGTTAATTTTTTGTTGTACAGATTGTGTTTTATTCCCTCCTCTCAGGCACAGATCCATCTGGCATAATTTAATGTTTCATATTCAACTATGGTAAAAGAAAATTACTACACGTTACGTTTTAAAACAGAAGTGAGTCAATAAAACATGTTTCTTTGAGCGACCGTAATCTGCATTTTTGCTGCTCGCAGCACAGTGGGAAGTATTAACGGATCTCCACCTCTGTGATATTGTGGTTCAGTTATCTATATACTGTATTTATCAATAATATTTCCCCAATAATGACCAGAGATAAAAACAGTTGTCAATTTTGTAGCTTCACATCCAAAGTGCACCAACGTTTTTCGCATATTTCAAGGAAAAAAAATCAGCTTTTCCTTAGATTTATTGTAAATAGTCTGTAGAAGAAAAAAAGAGTTTGGTTTCCAATAACAGCAACGTATGAAATATTTTAATCTATAAATAATTATACACAAACGGCACGATGTGTGGGTCGCTTCATTCTGACCCGTTAAATGTTTGACAGTGAATCTTTTAGAGTCCAGGGTCCAATTCTAACACAGCTTCAGAGAATCAGACTAGGATTAGAGCTGGTTTGATCCACATGAGAGCAGAACTTTCCATTTTAATGAGATAATGTTGTATGGAGTGCTTTGGGGGCTTAATTTAGATCAACAGAGATAATTTGGTCTAGGAGCCAAACGATAGAGTTGTTTAGCACAAAGATTAGCTAGAAGTATTCTTTGCAACTCTTTTCCTTGTGTTTTTGTGTTGTGTTATTGCTTTTGTTTAGTGAAATTTGTTTTTTAGAACCCAAAGTGAAGACTTAGTTATTTCAGCAATTATACTAAGACGACTTAGATCTACTCAGATGGAAGAAGCAGCACAGGTGCTGAAGCAGAACATCACTTCTTCAGGTGAAGAGCGAAAATACACGATGCCAAACAGTTTGACTCGTCCAGAAATCCCAGAATTATCATCTTGTTAGTCAGAGATTATGTTTCTAACTACCTGCAAGAGTGAGGCGTGCTGAAAAATGTGCCACTAATTTTAGATGCAGTTATTACAGACTGTTAAACTTGTGCCCATTTTTACTTCTGACAGATTCAGCCTCTCTAAAATGCTCTTTTTATATCCAGTCCTCTCACTGACCCACTGCAAATTAACCTATTGTTGAATGGTCTTTTGACTGTTTTGTATTTGTACCACTTACTTTTACATAATTTTGAAGCCACTGTTCAGACTTTTTAGAGATGTGTTGCTGCAATAAATTCAAAAATACCTTCTTTTTTTTGCCAAAAACAGAACAATTTCTTACGTTAAGCATAGAATATTTTACTATGATGATCATTTCTGAATAAGATTTGTATGAGATTTGCATTTTGTTTTTATTTGCATTTTACACAACATCCCAACTGGTACGAATCCACTTAGGCTGAATACAACAAATCCAATACATGGATTTAAATCAAATAGCATTTTTCTGACGTTCCTCATAGCTGAAATTAGAAGCAAAGTAACATTCTGTTGCAAATCATAAAAACATGTCTCTTACTGCAAACAAACCACCCCACCATACTAACATATAAATCTATGTTGAAGTTGACAAACTGCAGATTACAGAAATTAATTATATTACTCATTCTACATTTAAAGAAACTGACTGAACCAAATAATTGTCTTCTTAAAAAACACCAGATAAAAGAATGCTTGAATATATATATATTTTTTTAATATTAATATATCTTGCTGCTCTAACGAGACAGATCTCACAGTTCAACGTCACCTCTGCAGAACATTCATATGAACCAGGGCTTAATTTGAGCCGGATCCTGTCAGAACAGGATCTGGGAACTCTCTTATTTTGACAGGGTGCGTTCCAGTAACTGTTTGCTTGGATCCAGTACTCTCAGGTTTACTAATAATAAAGTTAAGAACAAATTTGACAGCCTTGAACAAATAAAACCTAAATTGGATATGTAATCGGAAAATAATTACATAAACACTCGTTTTAAACATAACAGCCACTTACGACTTCTTAATATCACATAAAAGCTGCCCCTTCAAGTAAGCATTTCTGCTTCTACCCTTAAAAAAAACCCACCCCTAAAAGTTCAGTCATGGGCAATTTAACTAAAAACACAAAAAAATAATTAAACAGCACAATTAAACTGCAAATCAATTTTGCAGTTTTAGTGGGCCATTAATAAAATTGGATTGTGTTAAAAATTCGAAAGAAATGTTTGATGGGAAATTACGTTATGTACATATCAAAACAACGGCGCAAATTTGTCAAAATAACAGCCATCAAAATGTAGAAAAGACATTCCAATTGTCTTTTTTTTCCTCTTCTTTTTTTAAAGTCTTCTCATTGTACAACTAAACAACTGAGAACTGAAGCACATGAAGGCAGTGGCAGTAGAGCTTCTGGAGCAGGTGTTAGGAGGCTTGAGAAAAGCAGAGCGTGCTTTGTTCACACAAGGGGGACTGTTGGTCAGGCTACTTCTTGTTGCTCTCTAAAATAGTTATTGAATCAAGTGTTTACAGATGTAGGTAAACGTAGATGTTTGACAACCCATTAGAATGCAGGAAATGGTATCTACTTTATTCAAAATATTCTCGACGAGGACACCCCATACCCACTATTTGCATTCCGGCATTGTTTGATTCACAAATGAAGCACTGATATGAACACATCAGAAGTGCACTGGCTACAGAAACTTCTGTGTCTGTTTGTGAAACCCAGCAGTAGCTGCTCAGCTACACTTATTCAGTTTTAATTGTAGTTTTCAGTCCTGTTCTTCTAATGCTTGTCCACGTTAGAGAAGCTGAAACCTGGTCAGTGATGAGTAACAAGACACTACAAATGTGCTGTCAATGGAAACCTTGAAGGTGAACTGCCACTTTAAATAGCAACTAACTCCAACTGGTCACTGGGGAGTCTTACTGTGTTTCATTACATGGAGCATTAGGCGTGCTCTTTTAAAGCAGCGGTCCTGAGCTCACGCAGGGAGCGGCGGCTCCATCCCAACGTGCCGGTGGATCGAAACTTAATCAGTCTGCTTTGTGCACTAATTCATATTCTGGGGCACGGATTGACGCCCGAGTCGCTCCTCTCTGAACAAACACGCAGCGAGGCAGAGGGCGGGACCTCGGAGTAATCAAACATTCTGCTGGGCTTGGCTCAGAAAATACCTGTTAATCAACACTAATGTCTGAAGGAGCCCCTCGCTCTCTGCATACCACTTAAAGAAGCCTCATCCACACTTTATTATTCATCTTCATCAAATCAGCTTTTCACTCAACCATTCAAACCACTTGGCATCGAGGAACAATCAATAGAAACCACTTATTAGTTTCTCTCAGTGTCGAGCTGTTTCTGGTTTAAAGAGAAACGGGACATAAAATCCAGCAGCACCTGAGGGATGTGAAAGTTGTTAAAACCAGACTGACAGGTGACAAGTGGAGCGAGAGCTGCAGAAAGGATGGATTGACACGAAGCAGAACTTTGAGATTATACCCTTTAAACATGTACAGAAATCAATCTGACTGTTTCACACTTGCATTTGACAATGAACTGTTGTGACGTTCTGTAAACAAATGAGCGATGGTTGAGTGTAATCAGACAAAAGTGAATCCATCTTACAAATAACTGTGAACAAGAAAGTGAATTGAGTTATTGTTATATTGTGTGAAGATAAAACACAAACTAAATGCAACAAAGTCCATGCTCAATAATCCAGGTGCAACACCGACTTTCAACAGGAAGCCCTGAGACTGAAAACTAGTCTGATTTCCACCAAACTCTTTCATAAACTTTTAAACTTTTATTACTTTAGTTTATCATAAATAAACACAACTCAGCAGGCTTTGTGAACATTTTAGGGTTTAACTTTGTATAATGTTGTTTTTATTAACAAAAGTTACTGAAAGATACAATAGCAGATATAAAACAAATGTTTCTGTAGTGACATAATGTCACGTCATGAGGTCAGAGGTCAACAGGGATGAAAAAAGAGCCTTGATTATCGTTCACGTTCTCTAGTTCACAGCAAATTTAGCATTTTTTCGATAAATATGAAAACAATCATTTTGATTGACTTCACTTCTTCCAAACCCAAACTCTCTACATTTGCCTTTATTTAGTTTGATAAATACCAATATGTGCCAACATTTTTATTACCTATCTACGTAAATCATCTCTATATTATTAAATCCTATCACCTACATGATACAAATTAAAGTACAAAGCTCGTTGATGCACTTTCTGGGTTAACTTCAGTGTTTTTATCACGATTGACCCTGAGACTGACTGTAACCTTGACATAGATAAATTAATGGTGTCTGATATAAAATGGCTTCTGTTGCACATTCATAGTATTACACAGTCTTTATGTTGACTAAAGCTAACAGCAGTTTAGTAAATATTTTGTTTGACAGCAGTTACAGTAGTCCCTCGCTACTTCGCGGTTCGTTTATCGCAGACTCGCTTTTTTGCGGATTTTCAAAATAACATTGGACATGACACACAACTGGCTGACTGATGGATGAGCCGCATGATCGGCATGGAATTTTTATTTAAAATAAATTATTTTAAATTACTTAGCACCTGCTGCACATTTGTGCAGCCCTTACTGCAGGATAAACGTCCTGCTGCAGCTGATCGGCTGTTCTCGTGCAGAGCAGAGAAGTGGGCGTGGCCAAGAGCGCTTGCAGGTGGTTGAGTGCAGCTCAGGCAGAAAGAGGGAAATCATGACATGCTGTGCTTGTTTAGAACTTTTAGAGTTTAGAAACATTGTTTAGAATATTGCAAGAGTGTGTGAAGGGTTTTATATATATATATATATATATATATATATATATATATATATATATATATATATATA